ATGGTACATCTAATTTTTTGTTCGCTAAGAGTTTCCGTAAACAAACTTATTTCAAATGTATTTATAGAAATATATGTAAGTATATAAAAAATTTATATCGTTTATAAATTCCAAGAAAAATTATAATCATTGTAGGTCTATGGAGGCTGGACCCTGTTAATTCATATTCGGCGCTAAACTTTATTATGTTTAATTTGTTAATTTAACTCCAATAAAATTTCAAACATTGATTGATATAAACGGTATAGAGTAAACTAGAAAGTCAATTTATTGGGTATATTGATCCTAGAGGAAGGAGAGCAATTTGTATTTACTTTTGGCATTAACTTAGAGTACTGTAACACACAATTTGACAGATATGTATATTCGAAATAAAGTCCACTAGAATAACAAAAAGATATATATAACGGCTTGAGTTAATCGAGGATCGATTTTAGCCATTTTTGCTACAAAACAATTGTACCTAAATCTAAAATAAAATGGTTACTTAATTTTGTTAAAATATCTTACTTATTCTTCAATATACTGGTACACGGTATAAAGTCTACCTAATGTATAGCATCTTTATGTTAGGTGCATATATGTACCAGTATATGACGTCTAGGGGAAATATTAATCCCATTTAACGCATTTTTGACGCAGGGACACATTATCAATTACCAACATAAAAAGATGATACCTGATTTTAAAAGTCAGCCAAATGTACAAAAGTACTCATACTCAGTATCTGAGATTTATAGTACAACTAGTAGATACGGCCACGTTTTTATGGTATAGTATTTAATTATAATAGACATTTATAATAAACATTTTAATACATTGATTGAGATTTAATTTAAAAAATGATTGATGCAAATATGTGTCAAAAAAAAAAAGAACTTTTAACATAACTGAGATATATAGTACCTATCTTTTTATTTGAATCAAATTGGACACAGTATGCTTAATTTTACTAAAATCAGTAGTTTATTAGTTTATCCCAGACAGAATGTGTCACATTATTTATATATATGTATATAAGGGGTTATAACTAAAAATTTGCACTAATATTAATGGCCTGATATTTTGTTATTTTTACTTTACAAATGCTTACCTATATTATGTAATTAGCGAACTGATTGCATCATATTTTTGACGTATAATTTATAATAGCTTGCAAATTCAATTAGTGCCTAAAATGGTTTCTAAGCAGCAACACCTCGGTGACAGCGTTGTAAATTTTTATAAAAAAAAAAAAACAAGAAACCGACGGGAAAAAGTTTACGTGTGTGCAATATATCAATATTAAGTACTCTAAAAATAGAAAGGCAACCGGGTTCGAGAAGAAAGCCGACTATTATGACGCCCCAAAACATTCGGAAGCTGAAGACAGGGTAAAACAATTAGGATTTCATAAGTTAAACCGAAGTCGCACGAAAATTCGAATGTTCACAGCCATAAATCTGCAAAACGTTAAATAGACTTAATATTAAAGCCAGAAAAAGCAGCGTTATCCAGGGCACACTGAAGAGCAGATAAGTCAAGTGAAATCACAATGTCGGTAGATGTGCAAGAATTTGAGTGGAAAATCATTCATTTTGAATGACGAGAGCTACTTATCACTCATCGGTTCGCATATGCCAGGCAACGATGTTTATTACACAAACATTAAGTCACGACGCCTCCCGAGATAAATTAAACAAATTTAAAAAAAATGTGAGCCTAAAGTTATGCTCTACCTAGCAGATTCTCCTAAGGGTATTTCTGAGCCATTCTTTAAACTAAATGGGCTGGCAATAAATCACAAGACGTACATCAATCAATGTTTGAACACAATTTTGGATCCTTTCTTATATAAAAACCATAAAAACGATGAAATCGTATTTTGGCCGGTTAAAGCCTCTTCTCATTATGCAAATGCGATATTGGAGTTCTTGTTCAACAAAAACATATACTTTGTGCCTAAAAAAAGAATTCGAAAAACTTACGACATTGGCGATCGATTAAGGATTTTTTTTTGGAGAAGTCAAAGATTTAATGTATGAAAATGGGTGCAATAATAAAAATTTGAAGCAGCTGACACGTCGCATCCGAAAGTGCCTTAAGGAAGTTGATACTAACGGTGTACAACGTGCTTGCTCAAGTATCCTGACTAAACTAAGATGGGTTGCTGACTATGGCTCGTATTTTGAAGTGAATTTGTGGATATTTTTAGTTATAACCCGTTATATTTATTTATACATATGTATATGTAAATTATAACCATTTTTAAATGAAACACACACACCTTGAAAGCACTAGTGTGCAAAGTTTAATACCGATATCTTCATTAGTATTTATTTTGTAATTGTAAAGTAAAATAATCTGATGGAATGTAATATTTTCTTATTTGGAATTACGATATTTACTGAAAATTTTAAAACTTTTGGTTTGTTCTTTTCTCGATGATCTCAATCGGTTTTTCAAAAATCGCTTTGCAATAGACCCATTTTTTCATTTACGCAAGAAAACTTAGTTTTAACAACATTTAAGGGTGGCGATCAGATATCTCAAATTTTACTAAAGTAATTGAAGAAAACAATGGCATGCTTTTACGGATATAAAGGCTGCCAGGTTGTGCAGCACACACAATTCTAGTTAGAGTGTTGTCATGTTAAGAGCAATTGAGACATAAGCAAGTAGTGGTAAGCTCGAATAACGAGCAATAAGTGTTCAGTTGTTGGAATTAGAAATAAAGATAAGTGTATAGCCATTAAATTGAGACTTTTATTTAACAATCCAGTGATCGAACTAAAGAGTGAGTTACTAAGTAGACGATTGATCGAGAAATCCGTTACAATATTGTAGGAAATCGTTTCAAATAATAAAATTGATTGCCAGCAACTCAAAAATTTCAAGGAATAATTTTAATTTTCTCACTCGAACATTCGAAGAAGGGAAGTTGTTGTTCAAGTTGTCTTAGCTGTTTTTGGTGTATTATAGATATAGTGGTCTTGTTTGGTTTCATGAATGAGAACGGAGCACCATCGTCCATTGACGTTCCCACGACAGTTTAATAAATTATTTTGATTGCCTTTGAATTTATGTATGTACATAATATGTATACATACATTAGGGTGTTCAAAAAAAAAAATTAAAATTGTGTTCAAAAAAATTAAAGTTATTTTGTTTGAATCATGTTGAAACAATTAGAAACTAAGTGTGGTGTAGTTAGGATTACGATAACTCGTGCCGATTTGCATCGAAACTTCTCAATACTTGCTTACTACAGCCGATAGGCTCCACCTACCGATATGCATTTTATAATTAATGTTTCTTATATTTAAACACATAATTTTGATTCGATCAACATGTCAACTGGAATTACGAAGTTTCAAAAAATATATATATTTTAATGGTCATCAAAACATCAAATTGTATTACTGCAAAATCTTTTCCAAATAGTAAAATGATACTTGTGAATTTATATAAAATTTGGAAGGATTTGCAAAAAAAATGCACAGAAAACTCAAGACAGCAATGACAAGAGTTTGTCAGGAACCCCTGGTAGACAAGAAAAGCCTTTTCTGCAACGACAACTGGAGCAAGGGCAACTTAGATGGAGTAGTCAAAAAAAAAGAGGATCGATAAAGAGGTTAGGACGCGCCTGAGAACTATTGACAAAGGGAAAAGGCCATATAAATATATATATCGCAGAGTCAACTCGATCGACATCATCTTATGATCCTATACAAGAAGACCCATCTAATTCAAACGCAGACATAATATCGTTACAAGAATATTAGTCAACTTAAGTTGAGTGCTTGCAACTCAAAAAATCAATTCGGAAAGACTTCATCCAAAATGACTAGCAGCGCTTGACATGTGTCTCTAAATTATGAGGGATACCGTAAATGTTCTGAATTACTTGGATTCAATATTGATGAATTTCCTATAAGTAAGTCCTCAATTCAAAGAATTCGTACCGAAAAACGCAAAGATCGTGCGGAATCCATTAAAATTGATTTTCAGAATTAGATGCCAGAGTTTGTGATTGTTCCTTTTGAAAATTATTGCCTGCTTTAGATGCTCGAAAATCAAAATAAGAACGTGGTAGTGATTTCATATGGAAATAAAGAACCATTAATAGCGTCAAGATAAGAAATCTCATAAAAGCCTTGGCTCCAATGTATTTCGGCTGTAAAAGCGTTATCCTAAATCAGGACTAGACCCTTTGCAAGTCAATGCAAGACAATGAAGAAAATTTCGATACAAAGGTCTCGAAAGTTGTTTTACTCCTAACCGATGAGAAAGCTGTCTCATCATTATTTAGTGACGACGTAGACCAAGAAATTAAAGTAAAAATGGTTGACAATTTACCCAAAGAGAATCCGACTACATAGGTCATTTAGAATAAATTTAATTTTCGAGTAAGAAAAATTTTTCTTTATACCTTGGGACACCCTAATATACATGTATACTAGTATACTTTTGCATTTTGTAAGAGTCAAAGTAGTAGATATATTTGCAAGTGCAAGCAAAAAGCTGGTGGATTTAAATTTAGTGGTTTGTGAGATATGTACTTAAAATCTATTACGCACAATTTAGAAACAAAAATATAAAACAAATGCCTATCCATACTTCGATGCTAAAATTAGTGCAAAATTGCGGTTTTGTATTTTAATGGCCTTAGTTATAGGACATTGTAGGCGTGGCTATTTTCCGTTTCCGCCCATCTCCCTTGAATGCGAACGAATACGAAATACTCCGAATTTAGAAATAAAAGAGCGGAGTTTGCGCCTTACGAATAGACAGGCGGATACGGATTTTATTACATTGGAACCGTCACCTATAGTAAATGCTATAGTTACTGTTTTATTATTTTTTTTTACATCTTCAAAATAAAATATGGACATATGATGCATAGGTATAAATATACATTTTAAATTAGTTTAAGATTTAATATTTTCCGTCTTTTTTTCGGACATGCCATAGTTAATTATTCGCTTTAAATTTATATAAAATATTTATAAATATTTTAGGAGGGTCCTCATTCCACTTTGCCCGAAGATGAATTTTTTGATGCTGTTGAAACTGGGCTAGAAAAGATCGAAGAGGATATGCAGATTCGGGCCAAACTAAAATTGCAGACGCAACAATCATTGACTCTGGCCAATGTGCCATATCAAGCTCAACAAAAAGGAGATGATCCCAGTACAGAGGAGTTCGGTACTGGTGGCTTAGCTAGAAGCCACATTCTCTGGCCTGAGGTAATGAAAAATGAATAAAAATGAGAGATGAGACTAAACTTTTAAGTGCTATTTAAGTGTATTAAAATCATATTCGGTTGATTTGTATAAGTATACGTTACTTAGCTTACTTGGGCATATTTAGTAAGTTTCGATTTTATTTGCAGATCGATCGCGTGTGCCGTGAGCAGTTACATTATGCACGCGAAGGAGTTGGTCAAGGAGGTAATGGTTGGCAAATATTTGCAGATGAAGGTGAAATAAAAATGTACAAGCGTGAAGAGGAAGTGAATGGTTTAGTGATGGACCCATTGAAAGCATATCACAGTGTTAATGGAGTAACTGCACGCGAAATGTGTCATTACTTTTTTATGCCCGAATTTCGCAATGAATGGGAGAGTAAGGATCAAAATTTCTCTCAAAATATAAAAAATTCAGTAAACATTTTTGTATATAACGGTGTATTTAAACATTTACAGCAACCTTGGAAGACTGTACTATATTAGAGAAAATTTCACCAGACACATTTGTCTTTTTACAAACGCATAAACGCATTTGGCCCGCCAGTCAACGTGATGCATTATTCTGGTCTCACATGCGCAAAATAACAGATGGATTAGATGATGACGCGGTAGACATGTGGGTTGTATGTAATAACTCGACGGAATATTCTAAACAAGAAGTAAGTCAGCCACATCACAAATAATGTAAATTAACTCCAGGTTCAGATATTTTATACTCTCTTAACATGTTGCAACAAGGTATAATAGGTTTATTCATCTAACGATTGTTTGAAACACCTAAAACTATTAGAAAAAGATACAAGAGTTGTATATACGAGTCTGTATAAATCGTCTACGTCCACTATTTTTGTTTTAAATTTAAGGTTTTATTTAACATAGTTAGAATGAACCCAGACGTATCCCGAAAATCTTATTTAAAAATAATTTCCAAATTTCTTATCCCAAATATCGGATTGATAAAAATAAAAATTGAATCCGAAATACCGGGTTGAAAAATTGTTAATCCTAAGTTTATGACTTAAAATTAAAAAAATAAATGGTTTCGAATTTATATTTTGTCGCGTTGCGTATTTCGTAATCTACTATTTTGGTTGCCTTTTGAAATAAAAAGCTTATTTTTTAACAAAATATGAACAAAGCTTACCACTTTTTGTCTTATTTATTGTATATTTAATTGCTTTCTTCCTATTCCTCATCTTTCCTTTCCGTTTTCATTCCAGTTTTTAATAAAATATAATTTTTATTATTTGTTACTCTAATTTTTGAATTAAAAATTATTTTCTCAATTTTTACATGTTGCTACAATTATACATACATATATAAATGATCAGAATAACGAGACGAGTTGAAATCCGATAATTTGATTAAAATTGTAAAATATCTTGATGAAACTTGCTGCGTATGTTCTTTGGCAACCTAAGCCTCAAATTAACATACAAAACTGTAGTTTGATACAGGCGATCGCAGTAGCGAGAAACCTCTGGACTAAAATTTTTTTAAAAGTGGGTATGACCCCGCCTCCTGAATGGTTTAATGTACATATCTTCCGAACTTGCTGACAAGAAGTCACTTCCTTATTTCTTCATACACTGTGAAAATGGGTAAAATCAGATAATAATCACATCCACTCCCCATATAACGGTTGTATTAAAGTACTAAGAGTGCGACAACTCACTGATTAAATGAGCCACAATCATTAAACTTCACAAAACATATGGTAGGAAAGGGCTTTATAGGTTCAGGTGTAAAAATTGGACGTGGCAGCGCCCACCTTTAGGTGGAATATCTCAGGAACTACTTGAACAATTTGAACCAAATTTGGTGTGTGAAGTTATCCAAACATTCCTATTATACGCTATGAAAATGGGCGGATGACAACCTAGCCTACTTCTTATCATTTTACAGTGTACAAATAAAACAGCAATGAAGTTATCAGAATTAAACTTTGCACAAATAATGTCCTCAAAGTATTTAATCTTACCCCCAAAAATTGTCGAAATCGGACTATAACTTTTCAAGGACCCTGACACGAAGTATGTGGAATCCAGTGCATATGGCTGGAGAGAATATTTTAGTGATGACAGCATGGCATTTTGCCAAAAATTCAGAAGGGGCAATACTTCACTTAGTTTAATTTTCGTTTTGCCAACATCTGAAAGCATTTGCTCGGCTTAAATCATTGCGAGAGTATAAAATGTTCGGTTACTCCCGAACTTAGCCCTCCTTACTTGTCAATTTTCTGTTTTTAATTTCAAACATCTTGGATTGAAAATTAAATTTTCAATTTGTAATCCCGATGTTTGGAAATTCCCAGAATTGAAATTAAAAATCTTACATCTAATTTTTAATCTAAATTTTTTTTAATTATAAAAGTCACAACGCTACCTGTGAGGGATATCCATACATTTAGCTTCTTTTTGTAACCAGTCCCTTTTAAATGGCTAGATGCAATAGCTAGCTCTTGGGCAATCGAAAGAGTGCTTGCATGACGGTTGGACTCGACTATATCCATTATTTCACCGATATTTTGGACCGTCCAGAGCGTGTGCATCGTTGACATAAAAATTATCGTACCTAATTGACAAAAACAATTGCGGGTGAATGGCTATCATAGTAATATGACCATAACACTATTCACATTTTCAGTCACTTGGCTTATATTTCCGTCTTTATCGAAGAAAAACTAAAATACCATATGGCATATTTTACTTTTGCTGGTTTTCATCTTTAACGAGCGCTCACACCATCTCTAAGCAGTTACGTATTTTTTTAGTACGAAATATTATTTTCTAACGTCATATAGCGGTACCAGATCGCACTTACACAACAGGAGATACCGATTACAAATATTGCAAAATAATCCATTTATTTTTACTAAACCTTATATAAATGATGATGAATGTTCGTGCAAGCGAGTAAAAATTAAGATATTTTGATTAAACTTAGTAATGCGTTCCTTGTCGCCTTGATGGCGTTGGTATTGCAGATAGTCGCAATTGAGCCATTGTTACGCCTGTCCGTTATAAGAAAATAAAAAGGACTATAATTAAGCCAGAAATTAAAGTACAAAACTGGACTATGCTATTAAAACTAAAGCCATTTAAGCTATATTAACCAAACTAGCTTAGTGAAAATCCTTCTCAGGTTAAGGTAAGTTCGGGTGTTATCGGACATTTTATGCTCTCACAATTGGTAATTATCAAATGCTTGGAAATATTTTCAAGTGTTGGCAAAACTTCATATTAAATAATCAAGAAGCTAAGTTCGAGTGTAACAGAACTTTTTATACTCGCAATTTGGCGTAATTTGTGTTCTAATTTCACATATTTTCAACATACAACTATAACATATTATTATATATATGATATCTTGAATAATTAACGATGCCCCATTTAACCAACCGGAAATTAGGGGAAGTATTAACCCGATTTTTATTTATATCACGATAGAATATTACCAGGGAAGTGTGCTCACTGAATTTCACTAAGCTACCTCATAGATTGATCGGTTGATCACTAATGTTAAAGAGAGACGCTCTCTGAATTTCTTCAAAATATTTCACATATTCACCGATATATACGGTAAAAAAAACATCGGGGGTTTCCAAAACCTTTATATTGGGTATATGTTGTAAGGGGAAGTATTGCCCGATTTTAATCATTTCTTACGAAAGGCATATTATTATCTGAAAAATATGTTCTTTGAATATCACTTGCATATCTCACAGAACTACCGATAGTTTCGGTAAAAAGTCAGTAATATGTCCTGAGGTCTTCATATTTGGAATCTGAGGCCTGGAAAGTTATGGTCCGGTTTTAACTATTTTTGAATGAGATAACATTATTTGAATGCTTGATTTATATAACATAAAAATATCTAAATAATATTCGGATTCAATTTTTTTTCCTTTTTTTTGGTTTTACCAAGATTTTTACATCCTTAACAGGGTATATAAGTTGCCACGAAGTTTGTAACACCCAAAAGGAAACGTTGGAGACCCTATAAAGCATATATATAAATGATTAGCGTGACGAGCTAAATCGATTTATGTCCGTCTGTCTGTATATACGCAAACTAGACCCCCAGTTTTTGAGATATCTATCTGAAATTTTGAATACATTTTTTTTCCCCAAGAATCTGCTCACATGTCGGAACCACCGATATCGGTTCACTATACCATATAGCTGCCATACAAACTAACCGATCAAAACTAAGTTATTGTATGAAAATCATTCTGATTTGGCAGATATCTTCTCGAAACTTGGCATGGATTATTGCTCAAGACAACGGTATAGTCTCCGAACAAAGTTTTTAGAGTGGACCACCTTAGCATTATGTTGCCATATAAACTGACCGCTTAAAATCATGTTCTTTTGTGGAATCTTTTGTATTTATAAAGAGTATTATAGCTTCGGTGCAACCGAAGTTGACGATTTTTCTTTTTTTTTGTTTTGCTTCGGCCATTTAAAGTTTCTATAACATCTTAACAAATGTTTGTGTCTACTTATGCAAATGTACAATAACCAAATTTTATAGAACCGTCCGTAAATTTGTAAATTTGTCTTAATATCTATATAAACTGGGCTTCAAATAAAATCTCCGTTGACACGGTCCACCAATGGCCACAGCTCATGTTGTTTTGATTCACAAAAATTAATTGTATTAAATTTAAATATTGTATAATGTATTGGAAGAATATCATTAATATGTCACTATTTTTTCAATGCAGTTTAGCGACATAACGACTTTGTTCCATGTCGTCGATGTAGTCAAGAAGGACCTCTTGATGTTTCTAGGTTTCTGTGAAAACATATTAGCAGAAACTGCTTGGAGAAGAGCTCGACATGCCTCGTTTTGTAAATGTACAACCGGAGACATCAAGAGGCATCCCGTGATAGCCCGAAGTGCAGTGTTTTGACATGTCTGAAGCGTCTTTGGCGACCATATCGGTGCAGCGTAGTTTATGACCGACCGGCCGTCCCATTGCTTTGCATTTGCATTTGCTGCCAATAAGGTTCCTTTGTCTTTTCCCCATGAGGTGCCGGCTAGCGACTTGAGGATTTTGTTGCGGCTCTGTACTTTGGCAATTATCGCGGTCGTATGAGGAGTGAAGGAGCACAGGCTGTCGTGATAGTGTTAAGCTCCTTGCAGAGAAGAAGTGAGAAAGGTCGGAGAGATAGCCGTTTACTTTTGAACACGTAATTGAATCGCTGGCATGATTCCAGTGCCCGATGTTAATATCGTGCAATCATCAGCGCACGAGGTGATAAGGGAGTGGTTGAGGGAGTTTCGAAATGTAGAAATTAAACAGCAACGGGGAGAGGACACCACCATGCGGGTCCCCCTGTTTAATTCTTCTTAGTTTTGACCTCGAAACAATACGGGTAACCTCTTTAACCTTGGAAGGAGCGTGGATTAGATGTCCTCAAGTAGCGTTGTGTGATTAATTGTGTCAAAAGCTTTTGACAAGTCCAGCGCATGGTTAAGGCCATGAACTATCTAGGCGTTTATGATTCTAAGTGCTGTAATGGTACTGCGCACTTTGAAAAAGCCATGCTGGCGGTCTGCTAGACTCCTGTAGCGAGTGAATGTTGGGAGTAGCAAGGTCTCTAGTGTCTTCTCTACTGAGGAAAAGAGAGTTATCGGACGATACGACTCC